TCTCAATCATTTTCTGTACGTAAAATTATTACGAAAAAATAAAGTCAAACGAATTAAACATGAGTAGTTTTTAGTAATATTGTGGTGTGAGCTACTTACATCTACACAAGTAGTATATAATGATAGTCAGGAATAGAATGTATTTCAGTAGAGGATCGAGAAGGAAAGAACAGAAACGGAGGGCAATCTATATAAAAAAATGCAGGCACAATAAAATTTGAGACGATGGACTGATATTTACAAAAGGAACAGTCAAGTTTGGGACAACTGATTGATATCTTGCAAATTAACTATTTACGGTATGGTTCTCAGATTTTATTAAGACGTTCTATAATCTTGTAAACAGATAAATCTGGTTTTCGCCGATCGTTTAACTTGTCCACTACAGTGTGATTACATGACTGTCTGTATCACTGATACATATTTTACTTGCTACATTATTCGTAATATTACTATGGTATTTTTTGTTTTAAGTTCTATGTCAGTATAATAATTATGTTTTATCAAACTCCTATTATTTTGAACAGATAAATGAATAACAACGAAATGACAATTGACGGTATTACATAATAAATTATTTTGTCAATGATAAACTATCAATAATATTTGGCGTATTATTTGAATATTTGAACTTTTCATAAAGTTTTATTGTTTTTTGGGAAAAAATTCTCCTCATTTATAATCTTGGTGATATCATGACAGTTAAAAGGAAACACTGACAATATTGAAGCAAGTAATAACCACTTTTTGTTTTTGAAATTAAATGTATTTTCATCAGTTATGATGATGATTTTGTGTTTGAAAATGTTACTTATTTACTTACTTATTTACACACGTTACTCCTCATGGAGGAGCATAGGTCATCCAACAGCATTCTCGATTCAATTCTGTCCTGGACAATCCTTTCCAGTTGTTTCTAGTTCATATTCATCCATTTAATATATTCTTCAAATTCCCAACGCAGTGTGCTCATTGGTCCTCCGGTTTTCTATTCTCCTCCGAGATTTCAAGATAGCTCTTGCCTCATGATGCAGTTTGTTGATTTCCGAAGTGTATGTCCCATTCATTTACAGAGTCTTATCTAAACGCCTAGAAACTAAACAAACTAATATGTTTATAGTTTAACCTTAATATACAATACCACAAATTTATGATAAAACTACTTTATTTCAGTAAATAGTAATAATGACAAAGATTGTGCTATTTTTCCAAACATATACTCTACTTTAATCAATTTGGTATGATTATTATTTTGCATCAGTAAATATTAAACAACTCCGCCTGTAGCTCTTCTACAGTTACTGACGACCCCGAGTCCAGCTAAGGAAGGAGGGTTGAGGATGGGGTCAGAAAAGCCATCCCTTAGAAAACAACCTTGCTAAAAACGCTAACCGGAATAAACAAATTAAACCATTGACTCTGCTCTCCAAGTTGAAGGATATTCATTCAGAAGAATTATGACGCCTCATAGTGAAAGCCAAGATTCTTCGGAAGTCACCATTCCGATGCCCCTTCGAACAACCAAAGCAACAATTAATATAGATACATGGAATGGACGGAAGACGTGGGAGACCGGTAGGACCAGTTAAATAGGTACGGAAATGAAGAGATACAACTTGACAGTGATCGCAACAAACGAAACCGATTGGACACACGCTGAACAGAGAAGGATAGATTTAGGAGAGATGTTACTGTACTCTGGTCACGAATAAGAAAATGCTCCACACACTCAGGGAGTTGCTCTGATGCTGTCCAAAGAAGCATGAAAAGCACTTATAGGACGGGAATCTCATGGATTCAGGGTCATCAAAGCACCATTCAAAACATAGAAGGAGGGAATCACGATGAATTTTACTCGGTGTTATGCACCCACCAATGATAGTAATGACGACGATAAAAGCCAGTTTCATGAGAGGCCGAAATCGATTATAGAGAAGTGTCCAGGACAAAACCTGACTATAATGATAAGAAATCTAAACGCCAAAGTAGTTTTATCATAAATTTGTGGTATTGTATATTAAGGTTAAACTATAAACATATTAGTTTGTTTGGTTTCTAGGCGTTTAGATAAGACTCTGTAAATGAATGGGACATACACTTCGGAAATCAACAAACTGCATCATGAGGCAAGAGCTATCTTGAAATCTCGGAGGAGAATAGAAAACCGGAAGACCAATGAGCACACTGCGTTGAGAATTTGAAGAATATATTAAATGGATGAATATGAACTAGAAACAACTGGAAAGGATTGTCCAGGACAGAATTGAATCGAGAATGCTGTTTGATGACCTAACCTAATAATTAGTAGCATAGTATGAATTGATTTGTTACCATGTAAAATTAATTACTTAGAATAATATCATCGATAAGTAATGTTAATGAAGGTTTCTCATCATGTTCTATAGATTAGTATAATAAATTTGAGTTTTTTTATTGGTTCAATGTTTAATCCTTTATTACAATACTCATAACGTACTGAATATTTATTTTTGTTTATTCTTGCACTTGAGTTCAGATAGAAATTATCATTTTTTCTCTTCAAAAATTAGTTTCTAAGTAATATATTTTTTTAAGTTAAAAATGTTCTAAAATGATATTTTGATAACATTTAATACTGATAGAATGAAGTTATATATTTGAACGAGGTAATTATTCACTGATAATTTGGTTAGTCTAATCTCCTACATTTTATTTTCAGCATGATTTATGTTGATGATTATTTAGTTTTTGCATAAAACCGATGTATGTAGTAGCTTTAATGAATTACAAGATTTGGAAATTAATCCCAGATCGAACTCAGCTTACGAATAAATATGCACAGGAGACATTTGTTTAAAGTTTAAGTAACTTAGAATTGATGGGAAGAAATAAATGATGTAAATAATGTCAAATTTGCATATTAAAATGTAATTGTCGTGTTATATTACGCGCAAATCACTATGTAATATTTTATAAGGAATGAGTAACTTTGATGGGAAACAATTTAAAAAAAAAACCGATAATCAAACAACTAAGCCAGTAAAAATAGACTGTAATACAATATTTCTCAAGTGTAAAGCCCGAATATTGATAAGTCTTCTAATTGAACGCTAGATTCGGCTCCTAAACTCTTCTAGTAACCCCCAAGCTGAATTTACACAGCATCTTGAACGCGAGAGAAAAGGTTCGAAATATGAAGGAAACACCTCGTGCTAAGGTTCAATTTATTTTCAGAAAATCCAGGGTATTTATAGTATTGTAGATGGCCTTGGGCTTCTGGAAATTTCTGGGAGGCTACTAAACATAGTAGCAGTATGGGTAATCACCCAATCAGAAACGTGGCATGTGACTTGTCACTTTCTAAATGTGTTCTGGCAAAACTCCTATTGGATGCTAACCCACTTTAGTCTTTTTTCGAAGAATTTTCTGCATCTGCCCAACAATATGAAGTTATTAAAAGATTTTCCATCCATAGATGTTTCTCGACTAATCTAAAAAGCTTTAGATAAAATGAAGATTTGGGGATGGCTAGGATTTCCTTAGACAGCTATTTGATTCTTGTATGGTACTTCTCAGCAGCGTGGGATCATAAATGCGCACACAGTTGTTCAGATAAGGTTTATATTCAAATTTTAAAGAATCTTGAACATAAAGATTTGCTGATGACTTTTTGTAACAAAAGTATTGGTATAATTACTATGCACATATTTATTGCTTCGACAACTATTTCACGCTTATGTTTAAGTTTTTTTATGTAAGTGGTTTGCAGGAAAGTAAGCCATCCTCAATAGTTCTCATCGTAGTTAGGAACTTATAAGGCCAGATGTTTCAGTTAGCACATACCTAACCAACAGATACCGATTTATATAACTCTTAATGACATCTTAGAGTTAAATTCCAACTCTATCCTGCATGGTCAGTAAGTTTGAATTACTTCTATCAAGAAACGTATGTTGGGCGAATTTGAACGATATTAGAAGGACCAGCTGAGTGAGAAGTTCGAGCATACATTAAAATTATAAACAGAAAAAAAAACAAATCTCCATCGTACAGTGGCAAGACTATAATTTATGGACGAATCAGTTAGTTATAAGATAACAGGTCTCAGATTTTGGCGCGAAATTCACTCATCCATTTAGCTAAATAGAGTTTTGGCTTTATAGCTGATGTCAGTTCGTGATGAAAACCTTACATTTAATTCCTAACCTTAATCATCAACTGTAAATCATAATTTTAATTCCTCACACAGGTTTACAACCCTATTATTGTAGTCTTAGTCCTTTTTCAAGAAGCTTAGTATTAGATTTATATTTAATTTTAGTAGTTCCTTCAGTTACTAAAACAATAATATGTAGTAGTACAATAAACATAAAGAGTTAATACAGTTTATAGCCGAATAAATTTTTGCTTAATCTACTCGGTAGATTAAACAGACTGCACTGAATTAAAAAAAATTAGGTGAGCAAGATTTATTGACATTTATCTCAATATGAAAGCAGCATCGCTTTAAACATACGCAAGGCTCTAGAAAATTCCCATTGATTATTACAGGATCGGTTTTATTGATCAATTTTTGAGCTAGTCTCCAATTATGCCATGTCCCATAATTATTGGCTACAATGCCAAATAATTCTTTGAAATATTCGTGTCGAGGTCGATTACTTTTGACCTTAATCATGGGCCCAAAATTGGGTGAGATTTTGTTAGATAGACTTTAAGGGGGATGAAATAGGGAGAAGAGAGGTAGAAAAGTCAGACTGGATTATTTTGAGCTCTAATAATATTGAGTGAGGTCACAGAGGCCCAATGAGAGTGAGCGATAAAATGCCTGTCTGTCGAACAATTTTCGATCATGTCTATTTACTACATACTGTTCGACTTAAATTTATGTGACCGATTGATTTGGGCCACTGGTTTTTAAGACACACAAAGTGAGATGTCATCAGACCAGACATTTGCCCACGTCATCATTGACTGATAGATTGTCTATCCCACTATTTTCATAAATCAAGAGGCCCGATGAAAAAATAATATTTCGATCGAACCTATAAGTTTTCGTGTATCTTTTGTTCATTACGTGGATAATGATTCTTAAATGTTAGACCAGCTTAGTTGCATTTGGCATTAAAATCTAGCAAATCAAACGCAAATACATTAACTGTCCACGGATTTATTTCGTTAAAAAATTACACCATACTTTTATTTAATTCGAGCATACATTTGAAACATAAATTATGCCACAGTGTTGCTTTGCTGGTTGCCATAACCGTACTGATGATGGACGAGGCCTAAGTTTCTTCAGGTTTCCTCGTAGAGATGCTGCTCGAACAGCATCTTGGATAAAGGCTTGTGGTCGGAAGGAATTTGTTCCATCCCAACACTCACGTGTTTGTTCGCAACATTTCAAATACGATGATTTTGAACGGGATATTCGTTCGGAACTTATGGTAATCGGCCATAAAAGACTGCGTCTAAAAGAAACAGCTGTACCATGTCCTTCTGTTGTCTTACAAAACGATACTAAACAAGTGGAATCAAGCAAATTGGTATATAATTCGAAAAGAAAATCCACGATCAACAGTCATATAGAATATGAAGCAACACAAGATAATTCAGGTCCATTGTTCTGTAAGTCTTTATTTACTAGCTCAACTTTGTAAATTATTGTTCCAATTTTACTTCATTGCCGTATCATTATGAATCCCTTATTGAGTTTAGGTAAACTTATGTAGTGTAGTACTAGTGTCCACTCAACTTCTAAATAAAATGTTCTATGATTACCGGCTGGATAGGTCCTTGATATAAGTATTGGTGATATGTATTGATTAATTAGAAAAAGATACTTTTCTGTGGTTCTTATGTACGTTTATTACCAAAAAACTAATGGTTACTTTTTAATTAAACTTATTTCTAAATGTCTCTACTCGTTGAAAGGGAAGCGACTGGTTGGACTTCTGCGGTAATAAAGAAAATGGAATTATAGTTTTCAGCACATGGTTAAGTTAGTCGTATTGGTAACACTTCATTTGTTTGATTATCTTTCGTATCTAGTGAAATTGTATCCCAGTAATTCTGTCTCCAACATACTAAGGGTTGACGAGCCTTTAGTGTTTGGTTTAAAGATAATGTTGTTATTTTAGCTTTGTCTTAATTCTTCATTTTAGTCTTGAAGGTTGACTCAAGAAAATTGAGGCTATTCTGAATAAGTGAGAAAAACTGATGAGAGTGATACGTAGAAATGAAAACGTCGAAGTGACGAGTTGCATTTCATGAAATCCTGATTACAGTAAATGGCCATCTTCCAAGATTAATTTGTAAACTTAATTTTATCCACAGTTCACCATAAAAATGTTTTTATTTCATAAGTCTAGTAAAGTAACTAATATCGAGATAACCTTCTTGTGGGGTTTAAAAATTCTGGATTTGACTTCCAGTGAATAGTCAAAGGTGAAAAACTTTGAGAAATTTCAGCAATATTTTACTAGCCAGTTTCCACTAGACTGATATCGACTTATGAGAAAAAACTATGTTCCTATTTACATGGTCGTTTGAGACTTTTATTTCAGAATGCAATTATCAATTTCGGTTGTAATACTCGGGGACAAAATTAAATTCCCCTCGTCTTAGTTCATTCTAGTAAGTTTAGTGGAATTTATCAAAGTAGTTGAATGTTCCTACTTATTATTTTTATGTTTTTCCTTGTATTAGCTTTCTAGGGGCGATCATTTTTAAACGTTCATATTTTATTTCAAGCCTTCGACAGGTTCCAATTTTTAGTTTCTTCTCCATAGTACTAAAATGCAGAAAAAAATCTGTCCATCTATTAAAGTAGTTGAAAAGTATATTGTTATGCAGTTCGATAGGTTTTTCCTTCTGCAATCAAATTTTTCTCTATGTATTTCATAAGAAAATTACAGTGTTGCTCACTAGAAATTTTATTATATTTCCTACGTTTGACGGCTTAATTTTATGATAACACTCGAAAGTATTTATATTTTAATAGGACTTCGAGGTTTTACAAATTAACTCAAAAATAGAAGTTAAGGAGACATCTTGAGCATTGTGTAAATATGTGGTGAATAACCACTTACCAGAAAATAACTCCAAATTAGAACCCGATACTCAATATTCGTAATTTACCCATTGGTATGAATATTTCTACGGTCAACTTACGTTAACTCTGAGAATATATAGAAATATGATGCTAAGCGGTAAACTGGTTAAAATAGTATTGCTTATGGTTAAGGTAATGCGAGTTAAAATAGATTATTGGATAACTCAAATACCCAGGGAAGTAGATATTGCAGTAATGTTAGAAGACCTGTTATTATACCAGAATTTATATTCGGCCAGAGACTTATAATACTAAATAAATCCCCAAAATAAATATATTTTGGAGTTTTCGACATTGATATTGGCCATATTAGTCCTACAGGGCGTACCACTTACTTGAAGGCACTCAGTCAAACATCCACACCAAATTACGTTTCAACACGCCTCATAACATCCTTCGATCACTTGCTAGCTTAGATTTTATACACTCTTGTACATCTGCCTACAATTCAGATTTATTTTCCCACTTAATCACCCCCGACTTAAGATCTTATTGGATTTAGGATCATCTTGTTACATTATTGTCGAATTCTGCACATTCGAAGCTGTTTCAAACTGATGACGTTGCTTTACCTTCACTTCTGTCTATATCGCCACTTATTTTTGTCATTCTCTTAGTGGTAGTACTTCACTCTACTTCTCTGCAAACTAATGGGTTTGGAGTATACATACGATATATTATGGTAGGTAAAGGCAATAAAAAATTAGACTTCGATCTCTTTCTTACTCTCCACATATAAACGGCGAATCGTTATTGGTTTAGACATGCTTATTCTGATAGTACAAAATGAAAGACAAACGTGTCAGCCACATCACTTGTCCTAGGGTGTTTTGCTTCTCGAATTTTCAGTGAGTATGCAAAGGGTTAGTAAGGCATTAAACAACTTATTCCTTAGTGATCCTTGGGGAGGGCTTCCAGATATTTTGAATTGAAATCCATCGCAGTGTCGATATTGCACTTATCGCCTACCTCAAGTATTGAGCAGTATAATATTTCGTACTTTGCACTTCCTACATTGCTTTTTCCAAGTTGGCGTTATTTTTGATTCGTTGCTTTAACCCTATCTCCTGAAGCTAATTCCAGTAACTTCTGCCAACTCACATTGTCCAAGTCCTACGCTATTTAGATTTGTCTCTAGTAAAGATTAGTGAGGTCGTCTAACTTTCAAAGCTGGACTGGATGAGTGGACTTTGAAACCGAGGTTTGAAGTGGTCATTTGCAACTTTATGTCTAGGTATTGATATGCATAGTAACCTGTACTATATTCTAGCTCTGCATTTACCTTGCTAAAGTTGGAACAAATTATTATTGTTTGAATCATCGATTAGATGCAATGCATAACGTCAAATTATCTCAATCATCTTTGTCCTGTCGTAAGTAACTAAAGATATGACCATTCTTTCTGAGGAATTCAGTTTTCAGTTCTTGTTGGGCATACAGAACTTTTTTCTGGAATTCTCACTAAATGATGTGGCGTCAAACATGTAATTCTGCAAGTGGTACTCACAGACTAACTTCGTCTGGGACACCAATGAAAACCAGGACTGACTAAAATGATGTCTCGTGCTTGTTTAAGATTCACTAGAAGTATGCAAGCGAGTACTTATAACGGATCAGACTCAGGGTCTTCGAGCCACTGACTTAACTTTCAGTGATACGTATCTGTAACCTCGGTTAGTACCTGATATGGTGGAACAGCCATCTAGTGGCATCGATGACACAGACGGCACATCTGAATTTTACTAGTAACCCGGTGGTCGGCGTTTTATTGAAGGGGATCTTTGAGGGTTAGTTCAATTCCTAGGTATTGTTTGTCAACACTGAAGAGTTCTGAACAAAACAGCTGCCTAATGGCCTCCTGATTTTTCTAGCCACTTTAAGTGGATAAATGCTTGACGAATACCCCCTACAAATTAGATTTTTTCTCACTGAACTTCATCAATACTATATCTTGATGCCCTTAGCTTTTCACTTCCGTCTTCCTACTGTCTTATATCATGCAACTGGATCCCTACACAAATACTGGCGGAGTAAAACGGATTCGTTTCATAACCTGTTGAATGAAAACCCACACTTACAAACAATAGTATCACTAAGTAGGGGGTTCGACATACCTGATGAGGCTGAAGCGTTTGTTAAAAAATGAGAGGGATCTGCTCGTTGCTGTTTGTGTCTTGAAGATTCGTTTTATTTATTATATGAAAGCTTCATAGCGCTGATTCTCAAAAACGTTAAGGACAAAATTGGTTGTGACTGTTTTTGGATTTATACGTTTGCATACATAGTAGGATTATTTAGAGGTTTACCATATAAATGCCATAGTGATTAGAGGATTTATTGCTGCATCACACCACCTAAGTCGAGGACAGTTTTTAAACTTCATTGTTAAATGCATCAATAAACTCACGGGGTCACCCTGTTGACCCTCTTCAATTGAGTGATATTGCAACCTCGTAATAACAAAATTCATAGGTCATTTAAGCATACCATTTTCTTCAGTCTTCAATTGCTTTGAGAGTCAATAACCTTCCGCCGTCTTCAGACGACAGTTTATTTAGTGTGAAATATCCCTTGTAATGTTTCGTTTATATCTCTAAATATTTAGTCTTCAGACCTCAAACATTTATGTGGAATTATTAATGAATACTACGGTCATCAGCTTCAAAGGTTAATCTTTAAGTGTGCAGTTATTATATGGGACGAATGCTCTCACCAAGTTCTTTTTAATTCGTATTCCACGCAACAACTAGAATGTTCGTTCTGTATTGTCTAGTGCTTCACTGTGTTGAGACACTGGATATTGTTGTGATCCTTCCTGTAGATGATTTTTGTAAAACTATTCCTTTCCGTCATACAATTTTTCAAAACTGATGTGAAGCAGACGGTTAAATCCTCTTATTTAGTTACATTGTGAGCTTTTATTTCCATGACCTACACCAGTCACTTCCCCTTAGTAAATGTCGGTAGTTAACACCTACCCGAGGCTAATAGAAGGTTGCATTGTTTCTCAAGCGATCCCAAGAATTAGTCGTAAGGTTTTCCTGACTTGTAGACTACAAGGTGACCCATGTCAGACTGGCCCCGGTTATCGTTGTGGCTATCTTTAGTGAACACACGAGAAGTAATTTGTATTCTGCAACTTGTATTGCCTATTGAGTGATAGAGGTGTTCGGTAGCCTAAAACTGTGTGGGCATATTTCATAGGAAATGTTTTTGTATTCACAGAAACCAGGTTCATAAAGATAAAGAATGAATACATCACCTTTATTGTACACCAAAGATGTCCTTGATTTGGTCGAGACATATAAACTTAGTTTTTGATTTAAGGCGTAAACTTGTTGATAAGGGTGTAAATTCTCACTGTCTTAAGGACACTGCAGATATTCAGGGTTTAATTAGGCTTTTGTCGTTCATACCTTTATAGTCGAAGGATACCAACCAAGTCAAATCAGAAGTCAAGGATGGATGGGTGCTAAGATATATGCGTTGAGGACCGTTTGATCTAAGCTGGTAAGTAGTCGCGAGGGATGTGTAGCACGGCGTACCCACTCGTGGTCTGGCACGGTTACATGACCGAATGTTTTCAACTATGATGTGTTTGGCAATGGAAATGAGGTCGAGGTGAATGTAGAAGACTCATAAGACTATTTATACACTCACGACCTGTCACGAGTATTCCAATTTCAGGGGGCCTCTCTAACATCTTGGGAATAAGATAGTCAAAGATACGACACATCAAAACTATCCATTTCTTA